CTACATCATGACGGAAATCCATAAAGGGATCTGGGTAACCACACAGCTGCTCGATCTCTTGCGAACAAGGTTGTTCGTCAGGGATATTATTGGCCCCAATCTAGGAAGATACTACAACTTCGTAAAAAATGTGATAAGTGCCAGCGTTCGCGAACTTCCGCGAGCCCCCTCGCACGAGCTGACAACAATGCTAGCCCCTGCCATTTTCCATGTGGGGGATCGACCTTATCGGTCCCATGCCAGTTGGAAAGGAGGGGTCAAGTATGCCGTGGTCGCGGTCGATTATTTCACAAAATGGTGGAAGCCAAACCTCTGGCCGCGATCACGACCAGAAAGCTTAAAGACTTCGTTTTCAAGAACATAGTTGCCGCTACGGAATTCCCCACACCCTCATCTCGGACATGGAAAGCAGTTCGACAACGAGGAGTTCAAACAGTTCTGCGACGAGCTGGGCATCCATAAAAAATTCGCCTTAGTCGCCAGACCGCAAGCAAATGGCCAAGTTGAAGCATCAACAAGACCATCAGCACACTCTAAAGGCCAAACTTGGGGCAGCCAAGGGATTGGGCTGACGACCTCCCCGAAGTCTTATGGGCGTACATGACAACTCCAAGAACTTTCACCTCAGAGACCCCTTTTTCGCTAGCATAGGGCTGCGAAGCGATGATTCCTGTGGAGGTGGAAACCGGTTCACTTCGGAGGGACTTTACGATGAGGTTGAAAACGAAGCACTTATGAGCAAGTTTGGACCTCGTTGAAGAACATCGCAGCAAGGCTTCGCTAAGGATAGCAGCCTACCAGCAGCGACAAAGGTTTTTTGATTCAAAGGTCAAGCGAAGAGACTTCTAGGTCGGTGACCTTGTGTTGAAGGAAGTTCTCCTCGGAACCAAGGACCAAGTGCAGGGGTATTAGGACCTAACTGGAAGGTCCATATCGGGTCGATAAGGGGATCAGACCGGGGACTTACCACCTCAAAAGGCTAAATGGTTCCAAAGTACCCCGAGCTTGGAATTTCGAGCACCTTCGACCATACTATCAGTAATCCCGAACTCAATCCTTGTTAAGTTAGTTCGATTTTGTTCTGTAATTGTAAAGTATTATCCTGTTCGCTTAATGGTTCAAGTTTATCCTGTTCGCTTGTAGTTCATGAATAACATTGCCTATGTAATTGAACTAAAATTGCGAACAGCACGCATGTATTAAAAAGCGATTTGTAATTAAAAACAAATTATTTTCATTGATGTACAAGTGAAAATTAGATCCACTATCAATGGAGCCAAAGCTCGTTACACTACGCTGGTCGGGGGATCCTTCGAAGCAGCACCCGAACCCTCTGCCTGGTGCGGCCCCCTGGCGGCTGCTGCTCTACTTCGTCGTCTTCCTCTGCCAAGAGCCGCAAAGTCTCTTGCCAACCCTGGAGGATGGACACATCGAGATCCGGTTCTTTGATCGCGCGGGTAAATAGCCCCATCGCCCAGTCGGTGGCCTTTTCCTCCGTCTCCTCTGACTGAATCCGCATTTCCTCAGTCATGAGCGACCTTTTCTCGACTCCTGGAGTTCGCCTCAAGAGCTCGCTTCTCCGGTTCGAGGCCTCCCTTTCTTGTTCAGCCTTCTGAGCCCTATGGAGGTCGTCTGGATCTCCTGGTCCTTCTCCCCGACCTCCTTGGAGAGCCTGCGGTTGTCCTTTAATCCTTTACTTCCTCCTACGTCGTTGAGCTCCCGCTTCTGGAATTCTACAGTTCGTAAAGCGGCATCCTTTTGGACCAGGTACCTGTTCGCCGCATCAAATGCCTCTGTTTCTTCAGCTTCGACGGACTCCAGGCTTTTCTTAAGCTTCGCGATCTCCTCTTGCTCACTGGACTCCTTCGTGGCCCCTAGCCGGTCTTCTCAATAGACCATCCTCATCGCAAGCAGCCTGCGAGCAAGAAAGTGATTAGAATGAACCAGGATGAAGTTTTAAGAGCAGCTCGCTTACCTTGATGCAGCTCGCTTACCTTGCTTAGATGCTGGAACGACGTGGTCATCAGGTCGTCGCCCGTGTCAGCGAACTCATCATACGATTCCGATAGTCCACACTCGAGCAAGAATAGACTACCGGTTGCAGATACTCGGCAGGCTCCCCAGTGAGTCGAGCACTGGTGCGTCCTTTGCGATCGCCTCACCCACGGGCTCCTTGCCCACCTCCTTGAGTCCTGTCACGACCTCAAGGGCTCCCCCTCGGATTCATTCTCAGACTCTCGACCGAACCTGTTTCCTCTTCTTCGACTTTTGAGCCGGAGCTTTCCGCTTTGGGCGAGTCGGTGGTGCCTAAGCGACCTGCTCCGCCCTGTCGTCCCTTGCACGGTTGGGGCCGTGAGGCGTGGCAGTTCGCGTCGATTATCCGAGATAGGACGAGCAGCTTCGACCGCCCCTCTCACTCCTCGATCGAGGGAAACGAACGGTGCTCGGTGAGACTGCCCGGACTCCTTCGGAGGCATAACTTCTGCACGAAAGTGCGTTAGTAAACAAACTATTCGGCGACCAGAAAGAAAACTAATGTAGCTTACCTTCTTCATGGGCTAAAGACGCGTTGCTATTGATAAAACCGTACTTCCGCGGTTCGCGGTATTCACTAGCTTCCTCGCGTCTCGGCTTTCCTCAGGCACACTCCAAAAGATCAAGTCTGTCTGGGTCGTCGAGCAAGTCTTGGCTGGTCGTTCTATGACTGCAAAGAAGAAACAGGTCGTTCATAGCATGCGAACAGATAATATACCTAACGAAGAAGAACCTACTTGGAATCTGAAAGTGGCAGTAGCCGTCATAGCAAAAAAGAAGAATTTGGTCTCGATGCTCTCGCGTTGCTGGGATAGCTATGTATCCCCTCGGTAATGGTAGGTCACCGGGACAAGTATTACGAATCCTTGTCCCTACTCTTTTTGAGATAATAGGTGACGCAGAGCTCCACCGCCGTGGCTGCCCAAGCCTCGCTCGCAGCACTGATGTACTCGCGACGGCGATGACATACGCGTTCGGTGTAAGCTGCATCGGTGCGATCCCGAAGTGATCCAGGACCGACCTGATAAAAGGATGGAAGGAATCATCCCTCCACCCTTGAAGATCTCTTCGGAGATCCAGCAAGACCGCGGCAGGTGTCGCGACGACCTGGTGTGGTCAAGGAACACCTCTGCTCGGATGTTATACTGTCTTTTAATCCTATCAAATTCTTCTCGGGTGAGAACCAAGAAGACTTTAAGGGACGCGTCCGGGAACTTCCCGCGTGGATGAGCTGGTTTCCTTCCTCGGGTCTGGACGTTGACGGATCCATTCGAGTCTCAACATCAACAGACACGGTCATTTAGGCCTTCGTGTTGGTCCCGTGACGGCAGGGACAAATTCCCAAAACCCTAATAGTAACTTGAGCCGCCACCCACGGCTCGAGTCCGGCAATCGTGGCACGTATCTGGTGGAACACCGAGAGACTCAATGCCGTTGCCTACCACCAAACAAATCAAAAAAAAAAGAGAAGAGAGAACTTACTTTCTGGGATGAGTAACCGAGGCCGAAACTCGTTTCAGTAGCCTGCCGATCGGAAAAGAATGGTTTCTGGTTTGCAAAGCTTGTCACTTGAAGCAAAAGGGATTTTCGTGACCTCATCTGAAAAATGTGAGTTCTTATATGGGCAACGAACCGACGGTTGCAGCCCCTCGACCGAAGCGACAGCCTTCTCTTCCTCCCCGCATTTAATGCGCCCCACGTCGCATTAAATGCCATAATAAGGCTGACGTTTCAAATTCGTTGAGCAGTCAAAAGCTGTCAATACGACGTCGAGTCAGCACACCACCTTTAATGCACCTGACACATTACAGCGCGAGCAGAATGCCCGACAGCGCGGATGCAGTTCATTGAATCTCTCCACAGCATAGAAAGGAACGTCCGACGAATCCAGGTCGTTAAAATGACGATTCTCAGGTCGCTTGGGCAAGAACTGTGCGGTCGTGTTCCCGAAGGTCATGTCCGAGCTTCTTCTTTCAGTCGAAACAACCAAAACCTCCAACCGCGCATGCTTAGTTTCCAAGGTTCGACCTCAACCTTACAACTAGGGGGCTTCTGTTATGACTAAGAAATCAAAGGCTGACGTGGAGTTTGGTGACGAACGTGGCCTGCTCCCGTCAGAACGGTAAGCGCACGTCAGGCCTGCCAAACGCCCTGGTGCTCCCCGTGTCCGCTAGCCTGCTCCAAATCGCGTGAAATCGGCTTGGAAAATAGGTAATGGGACTTAAAATCAGATTAGGTCCTGACAATCACACCAACCCAAGGATTAGTGATGATTACGGACATACAACTTAAGAAGAGGAAGACCCCTTCATTAAGGGGATTCGACAATTTTACACAAAACTCTCTCTCTCTCTCACGCTTTTGTATCTATTTCCCAACCCTTTGTAAGTCAGTCCGCTGTCGCGACCTGACCCACACTATCAATATCAATACAATCAGTGGACGTAGGACTTGCTACCTGAGCATCCGAACCACTTTAAAAACTCTCATAGCATTTATTTCGCTTTTATATTCATTTTCACGTGTGTTTTTTGATCAATTAATGCTGCACACGTATCGGTTATTTGTGCCCAAAACCGAGCATCAACAAAAACATTCACATGGAAATGACCGTCATGGAAGAAAGAATGACAGTCTAGTTATTGATTGTTAGCGTGGCATTAGAAGATGAAATGTGGCTAAAAGTATTTGTTCTGATTTATGCTTGCCGTCTAATTATTTATTTATTAATCATATTGTTAATGATGGTCAGAATTGGAATGGTTCTAATTCAACTAGTGCAGAAGGTGACACGCGGATTTCATCATTATTTATGCCAGCTTGCGCCATTAATATTGTGTCCACTTACAATAGTTGTAGGGTCTGGATAAGAAACACTATTGATCATCTTAACCACCTGACTAACTGCTTTGACCCTACACTTATTAAATACAAATAAATAATTATAGTTATGATAATAAATTTCATCAGACCTTGGTCAAAGAATACGAGTAGAGAAGTTGACTTTGGTCACGGGTGACCCAGGCTATTGCAGTTCAAAAGGTTTAGTTCACAACCGCTTTCCACCTACCGGCACGCCCTCCCTCCCTTCTCCTCCAAATTAGCTTTTCTATCTCTCCTTCCTTACCATCCTTCTCCGTTTGGATCCGAATTTCGTATTCGGAGCCTAGGCAGAGAGATATGTCAGCTGAATCCAGCTCCGGTTCAAGGGACCATTCCGTCGTCAAAGGTATACCTACTCATGGTGGACGTTATGTCCAGTACAATGTCTACGGTAACCTCTTCGAAGTTTCTAGAAAGTACGTCCCTCCAATTCGCCCCGTTGGCAGAGGCGCGTACGGTATTGTTTGGTAATTTTTCCATTTTTTTATTTCTTTAGCTTAAGAATACTGGAGATCGTATTGCGTATCAGCTCAATTTCTGATTTCTTTGTCGTTTATCCTTCCGTGCCTTGAATTATGTAGCTTATGTTATAGGTTTCACGAAAATTTCAAGTTCTGCGCGTAATGTTTTTTTGGTCGAATTTCACAGGAAAAAAATTATTGTTTCTGTTTCATTTAGTTTTGTAATGGTAGTTGAATTGCATATTGTGACTGGGCTTCGCTATGATTCAGTAGGGGTAGGGCTATGGAATATATGTTTTTAACAGCGATGCTTAGATTCAATTCATCGCAATTTCATCCTTTAATTATACCGGGACTAACTTTTGGCTGTATCCTTGTTCGGGGATGAAAATTTTCACACCAATAATGAGAAATAAGGTTAATCTTTGAAATCTTTTGGAACTTCAAAGCATATGCTTTAGTAGGTAAATAAGCTGTCATTTACTTTATGTGAAAATGGTTTAGGGCTGCAAAAAGTATATCTGGATCCATCTATCTCAGTCTTTTTAAAAAAAAAAAAAAAAAAAAAAATATTATGCTGTTCGTTGGGTTCTTATGACTTCCCTTTTAGTGTGTGCTGGGGATTAAAATTGTGATGGTTGAAGAGATTGATAGAAAATTACTTTTTTCTGTTTAGTTTGACTTGATCTCTTTTTGTTATCAAAAATGTGAAGGAAGTGATTTTTTTCATTTCCTCAGTGCTGCTGTGAATTCTGAGACGCGGGAGGAGGTTGCCATTAAGAAGATTGGTAATGCATTTGACAATAGAATTGATGCTAAGAGGACATTGCGAGAAATTAAACTGCTTCGACACATGGATCATGAAAATGTAAGTTCAGCAAGATTTCCGGTTTTTCATGTGAATTTTTTCAATTGGAGTATAAAATCCCAAAGGTTTTGTTGTTTTCACTTGGGATGATAAGAAAGTTTGAGAGTAAATTCTAAAATTTCTTACTGTTTCAGTTGGGTTATCTAGATTCTCCCTTGGACGTATTCCTACTGGAATGCCCAGATTTTTTTATCATGGCATGAAATTGTGCAACAATTTTGGAATTCTTTTTTGTTGGGGTTTAGGCTTACTGCTCTTTCTTTATATACTGTAGGTTATTACCATCAAAGACATCATACGACCGCCACAAAGGGAGAACTTCAATGATGTATACACAGTTTCTGAACTAATGGACACTGATCTGCATCAAATTATACGATCCCACCAAGAACTGACAGATGATCATTGTCGGGTTGGCATCATGCACTTTTTATCAATGCTTCTAAGATTTTATGTTTAAATTCTCTCTAACTGATTACTTTTGAATGTTTATGTTCTATCATATTTAATTGTTTTACATTTTTGTTTTACTTCAGAAATGGTGATCACCTGAAGGTGGACCTTACAATACTCTCGTGGAGTAGTATTGGGCATGTTTATTCTTCTAGATAGTGATGCAAGATGATTATTTTGTGAATAATGAATGACCTCCTTATAACATATGTACTGCAGGAGTATTTAGTTCATTTTAATGATCATCCTGATGGAGGGATCTCTTATTCGGATTATAGTTTTGCCTTTTGTCTTAAATCTCAAGTATTGTCGTTTTGAGTTTTAGAAGAATGGATTTTTTTTTTCTTGGTGGTTTTTGTTCATATGGTTTATGTGTAAGAAAATGCTGCCGTTGTTGATTATTCAATGCCATTTTTGCAGTACTTTCTGTATCAGTTGTTACGAGGGCTGAAATACGTGCATTCAGCAAATGTTTTGCATCGTGATTTAAAACCCAGCAATTTGCTCCTGAATTCAAATTGTGATCTTAAGATTGGAGATTTTGGGCTTGCAAGGACGACCTCAGAAACAGATTTCATGACTGAGTATGTTGTCACTCGTTGGTACCGAGCACCAGAACTGCTTCTTAATTGTTCAGAGTACACTGCAGCAATCGATATTTGGTCAGTGGGTTGCATACTTGGTGAAATTATGACAAGAGAACCCCTGTTTCCAGGCAAAGATTATGTCCATCAGTTGAGGCTGATCACGGAGGTATGGTCAGAATTTGTTCATAGAAATTACTTTTTAAGGACAAGTAACATTTCTCTCTGTATTGGAGTACCTTCTTCCTTTTTCTATTTTTCTTTTTTGTTTTTCTCCTGCACCCCTCACAGGCTTCTTAGCCATGGTATGCCTGTTGGCCATTGCTCATGGTCTTGTTCTCACTCTTCTCATCTTCTATCTGACTGTGAGGGTTAGAGATGCATCATCTCGATTTTTGTACTCTGCCCTGATGGCTGATTTAGCATAACCCTGAATATTTTGTATAAGGACATCTATGTTTCTTTAGTAGGCTTGAATATCTTCAAGGAGTGAATCCTACTATGAAAAACTGATTCAAACTGATTCATCTATTGCTCAAATGTCAATTGTAGCTCTTGAATGTGACAGATGTACAACATTTTTTTTCTGGGAGATGAATACAGAGCCAACTTTCATGCTGTAAAAAAGAGAGGGAGAGAAAATAGCAGGAATCAAAAACTCTTTCTCTGCGTCCTTTTGCTTTTTTGCTCTATGTGGCTGATGATAGTAAAATTTGCAAAACTGATGTGGTCTATGCAGTCCTATCTGATCATTGCTGCACCTGTTTGTATCTTTTTCTTGTGTGTTGATGAGCTATAGTTCTTTTTGCCACACTGTCATGCTATGCTTTAACATTCTTTTGTCCATGTGAATGCTAAAAGCTGGAGGTCATTTGTTGTTTCCCATCTGAATGCGGATCAAATTTGTTTTAGTTAACTTGTTACTTATTCATTTATTTTTCTTGAATAGCTTTTAGGTTCACCTGATGAATCCAGCCTTGGGTTCCTACGAAGTGATAATGCCAGAAGATATGTTAGAATGCTGCCACAGTACCCTAAGCAAAACTTCTCTGCTAGATTCCCTAACAAGTCTCCTGGTATAGTTGATTTGCTAGAGAAGATGCTTGTCTTTGATCCAAACAGGCGGATTACAGGTATAAAAAAAGATGATTTATGTCTCCAGCTGTTGGTTTAATGCGATTTTGTTGGATTCAAGATTCATGGATGTTGTGATTGATTCTAATGCAATATGCAATCAAGATAACCATTATAAACAGTTGCTCCATGCTTATATTCCGTCGGTCTGCTCTTGAATTAATTTTGCTTTTTAGATTGTTTTCTGTTTAACTGTTATTTTTTTACAAATGTTTTGCAGTTGATGAAGCTTTGTGCCACCCATATTTAGCACCCCTTCATGATATCAATGAGGAGCCTGTTTGTCCAAGGCCATTCAGTTTTGATTTCGAGCATCCATCTTTTACTGAAGAAGATATCAAGGAGCTCATCTATAGGGAATCTGTAAAATTCAACCCAGATCCAATGTGATAATGTGTTGTAGATGAAGTATACTATAAATGACCATTGGGTCCTCCAAATTGACAAGATAAAAAATTCGATGGAGATATTGATATTCATCTAACAATTTAATTGTTATGAGTGTTCATTCATCGTTAATCCCATATCTCTCCATGTTTGTAAGGTTCAGTTATTTAATAGTAGTTGAAGCGCAATATGCTCCATTTCTAGTTGCTGGTTCTTCTATTGATTGTAGATCTAGGAACCGAGTATAGTTCTGTGATCCATGCTGCAGGTATTTCGTTCCGCTTCATGGTGGGAGTGGGCTGAATTTTTGCATATTGTGGAGCTGCTGTCCTGAGTAGTTAAGTTATTTTCTTTGATAGGCCGATTTTATTTTCTTACATATTAATATGTTATGTTTGTATTAGAACACTTCAGAAATCTGAATGTGTAAAGCAAATTTCTGCGTCAGAAAATACTAGGAATTTCTTATAGGGGCAAAAGGAATTTTATTTTTATTTTTTATCATCATTAACAACTTGCGGTGTATAGAACTGACTCCTATAGTTATATTGCTAGTACTAAGAAAGAAAATTTACATATAATTCATTTGGTAAGTACATTTTTTGAACTCCACCAAATCTATAGGCAGTTTTTTGGTGGGAAAGTTACAGGCCGTAATTTTCTGTGGTCCTTGATCAGGTAACAGGTCACAAGGTCGAGGAGTAACACCACTAGTGATCCCTGCAATATCAGCGCAAGTCCATGGCACCTTCTTGGCTTTGGCTGCCATTCCAATTGTTGTATTAGAAATGCATATACCTGTAAATGGGTCTCCTGAAATCCCCTCCAATCTAGCGGCCATGGACACATTTTCTGCTACAATATCCCTGTAATTAATCCCTTGAATCACAGGTAAGGCGTTTGGATCATAGTGATTATCAGCATGTGACCCATAATTGCCAGTCATCCAAAAGACCCATTTCATAGTGTGCAATTTCATTCCTTTAACATATATATCTTTCACGTATCCTCCTCTCCCTCTAGCAGTCTTGATCCTTACCCCCGATTCTGTATGGATGGCTGTAATGTCTTCTGCTCTCACATCTTGTATTCCACCTGACATCTCACTTCCTAATGCTATGGTCGCACTGTATGGTGAAATGCATGTGAGCCTTCTGATGATCAATTGTTTTGTGGGCATCCCAAATTGAATCCCATACTCATCCCAACCACTCTTTACTGCTACACAGTCATCTCCAGATACAATGTAGCAATCCTCAATTCTTGTATTGGTACAAGAATCTGAATTGAAAATACATAAACAATTCAAAAAATGTCTGTCAATTGGTTAAACAAGAATAAGAGATACAAACCTGGGTTGATGCCATCTGTGTTTGGAGATGTTAATGGAGCAATGATGGTGATGCCTTGGATAAGAATAGTACTGCAATTCATATTTCAAATGTGAACTTTGATGATACATTTTACTGAGGCAGGAGGATGTTTTAGAGGGCGTATATATGAAATATACCTGCTGTAAACAGGATGAACATTCCATGATGGGGAATTTAGGAGCGTCAGATTTGAAATTTGTATATTATCTGAGAACATGAGTTCAATTAGGTAAGGTCGTGTGTATTTTAGCTTTTTCTTGTGGAATTGTTGCCACCAGAATGCACCCTGGCCGTCGATTGTGCCATTGTCCCCTGACACCAAATAGGGCTTTGTTTGTAAGATTCAATTGAAAAATATGGATAATTTGGTATCCAGTAAAGCTCTAAATTTCCAGTTACCTGTGATAATAACGTCAGTAAGATTTGTTCCAAATATGAGACTCGTAAACCTTCCCGCAGGTGCATCCCTTCCTCGACCGTACGATGGCAGAGGTTTGAGCGCAGGCCATTCAGTCATGTCCTAAACCAGGAGAAAAAACAATTTAATAAGATAATAATAAAATAAAAAAAATTGTTTTTGGAGTTAGAATTTTTGACAAAGTGAAACCTGAGAGGCAAGAATAACAGCATCCTTGTGAAGATAGAGAGTGAAGTGACTGATAACATTAAAGCTGCCGGTCAACCATTTTCCAGCGGGGACATATAGCTGAGCTCCACCATCTGATGCATACCGACTTAGTTGATTAATTGCATCGTGAAATGCCTTAGTATTCGATGTTTTGCCATCACCAACTCCTCCAAATTCAGTTATTGATCCACTGTGTGCTCTGCAACTTATGGCACTGTACTCAAACGAGTCTAATATCCTAACTTTTCTGCTTTCACCTCCAACTGGGCTTAGTAATGCCACCACTACAAGAAGGTGCAGCATCTTTATCACCTGAAAATCAATTAAAGAAATTATAAGTAAAAATAACAAGCCAAGTTGGCTAAAATGATTATATATGGATATATATAGGAGCTGTCTTATGAACAAAATGAACAAAGAATTGTAGCTCTAATATATAACCAAGAAGCTATTTCAGTACATTTTAGTGAAAACTGGAGGAGAAGAAAAGAAGGAAAGGGAAAGGGGTCAAGAGTATTACTTGAGCTCTCATGAAACTTATCCATAACAACTCCATTGTCTGGAAAGACAGCTGAGAATTTGTTTTGTGGTTTTGCAGAAACAAATGGAGTATTTATATATATATATATATAGACAGGATGAAGTTTACGCTGTTAAGTCTGAGTCCGTGGCTTCACCTTTTACGCTAAAATTGCCGTTCTTCAAAGCAAAGTAATGCGGTTCTATCAATTTTTATGCATGTAAATTTCATTGAATAGTTCTACCGTTGGGGTTAAACATTAAGTAGTTCCCAAAAGTAATTTTATAACAATTGAGGTTGCGTTGAGTATTACCATTGTTGTCTCTGTCAAACTTTACCACTCATACTGTTACATACATTCCCTGTCATTATTATTCAACATTTCAACCGTCTGGTCCAACCCCACTAATTAATTGTCAACAATGTCAGTCTAAAAGCAATTTCCATTGCACGATATCTCTTTTTATACAAGTTAAACAGTAGAATGCTTGGTTCTCCATAGGACTTCAAGCAGGGTTCATGGGGGGTTTTTGCTTAGAAACAAGGAAAGTCACCAATCCGAAAGCCATAGCATGAATCTATGGGCTCTAATTCTAAAGAGGATGTTGGACAAGAGGCGGTTTTTGCAATTTGGCCTGTTCCGTTTGAAAGTAGCCACTACTTTCACTTTCACTTTCTCGAACTTCTCATCTATCCCAACTCGTGAGCCTGCCCACGCCCCACCCCACTACTGCCGACCCACTTCACGGGTTAGATAAAACTGAAAATGGTGGGACCTTTACATTATATTTATTTTGCTATCCTTAGGAATCTACTTGGAGTTCATCCAATGAATGAGTGGAGAATTTTATAAGCCAAAAAATGGATAATGGTGGTGTCATCACCACCACGAGTTCTTGTATATTCATTCACGAGAGTTGCTTTATATTATAGTTGAATTGAAATGGAACCTTTTTCACTCATTGGTGCACTTCACATGACTCCATCCATAGAAACTTGAAAAAAAAACAAAACATTCTAAGATTGGGTCATTGTTAGTACAAATGTGGGCAACAGTATATAAGTCAATGAGAGTCTAACTCCATTATAAAAAGTAACATTACAATTTTAGTGCGTAGATTTAGGGTTTGGAAATAGGATCCGATAACAAATTGTAGGCCTCACTGGAGATGTGGCAACATTGAACTTGGACCAAGCGTGAGGATGAGATGAGTTTGCCCAATATATGTTTAATTTCATTGGGCCTCATTGTTGGGTTAGACAGAAACTCTTACATAAACACCCCCATGGACTGATGGACTCTGATCCACACTCGTACTTTCAATTTTTATATAAATTGAAGTTTTATTTTTATATTGAGGTATCATTTAAATACAAATCTTTGTGTCTGAAAGATATGGACCATGTATTAGAAAAATGAACATTTTATGGTTACTATATAGACGATACATATAAATAAAAATATGTAAAATCTAAAAAATAAAAAAGTATAGCATAGAAATAGAAGATAAATCCTAAAATTTAAAGGATAATTATTGATATTCTCTAATTATCTAATAAAACTTTCATTACCCAAGTATATATCCTTAACTTCCATAGATGCAGCCCCCAAAACTATATAACTACATCAGTATCGTATATTTTCTCATTGTGAAATTATTTAATCATTCATGTCACAGAAAAAAAAACGACAAAAGTGAAAATTGTCTAGGCTTAATACTCATGACTTTTAGTCACGTAAATTTTATTTATAAGAAAACTGGTATTATACTTACATATTACACTCCTCATTAATTTATGAAATGTCTTTATATATTTAAAATACATAAATGTCTTTATATATTTAAAATAAAAAGAGTTAGACAAAACAGTATTAAAATATATGTGTCGTGGTCGCATTTAGAATTTTTTGTTTTTTTTTTTTTTTTGAAATGTAGAAACTATCGGATAATAGTTTTGCAATTGGTTGTGAAGCGACTATATATAAAATTAAGGAGATGTCATGCAGCTGAGATTCAATAGGAATGTTTTCCTAGAGACTTGGATATACAAGAATTCTCATCTCATTTTCTCCTTCGTTTTTCTTTGTTATTTTCTCTCATTTACAAATCTGATACATGTATGTTCAGGTAAACAAATGAAATCAGAAGAAAATTCATTCCCCTTTATACGATGGAGCCAGCTCGTTTGCCTTAGCACTTGATCTCTCTTTCCATCTTTTGTTATACCATCTAAATACTAATGAGATTCGTGTTCTCTCTTTCTTAATTTGCATTGGAGATCTCCTTTAAAACAATCATGAAAAGCCCCTCAAAAGATCCTGCGGATAGTATTGCAAGGGATTTCATCTCAAAAAATTCATATTTAACCCCTTGGACTCTTCCAAAAACGGTGATCATCTTCATTATCGTAATCTCTCTTCCCTACGTCTTTTATTCATTAAGATTGTTATATTTGTCAAATCCTCCAAGCCAACAAACTCTAATTCACGATATTCGTCAATCTCAATCTCACCCTCGATTTCAAAACAATTTCTTACCCACATATGTATCATCAACTCATAATCCTCAGACGGCCCCAGAGAGAACAAGCCTCAAACACATAGTTTTCGGCATTGGAGCCTCGTCTTCCACATGGGACCGTAGGAAAAATTACCTCAAGTTATGGTGGAGACCAAAACAAATGCGAGGCCACGTTTGGTTGAACAAGCCCGTTAAATACAATGCTGATGATTATAATTCTTTACCACCGATAAAGATTTCAAGCGATACATCAAAATTCGATTATAAACACCCTTGGGGTACACGGGACGCCATAAGAATGTCAAGGATCGTTTCAGAATCTCTGAGGTTAGGCATGAAGGATGTAAGGTGGTTCGTAATGGGTGATGATGATACAGTTTTTATTGCTGATAATTTGGTTAGGGTTTTGTCAAAGTATGATCATAATCAGTTTTATTATATAGGAAGTCCATCAGAGACTCATGTGCAGAATTTAAATTTTTATTACGGTATGGCATTTGGTGGTGGTGGATTTGCTATAAGTTATCCTTTAGCCAAAGCTCTCGAGAAAACGCAAGATCGCTGCTTACTTAAATATTCCTCTTTGTACGGTTCTGATGCAAGGATTCATGCTTGTTTGTCAGAGCTCGGTGTTCCTCTTACCAGAGAACAAGGATTTCATCAGGTTGGTTTTTCTTCTTTTTTATTTTTCCTTGTTTGGTTAGTGAGAAAATAAACAAGTACTTCAGTTCATTTAATGAATCAGCACAGGACCTTTAATTTAATCAAAACTATGATAACTTACGATTTGTGATAAGATTGACATTCAAATTATTCAATTAACATTATCTAATAATCAAAATAACAAATTCAAAATTTTGTCCTTGAAAACTTGCCATGTCATTTATTTAGGACCCAGCAGACCATGGCCATGCAATACTTTTGCCCTAAATTAGACAACCTTATTTTAACATGACAAATTTACGTATCTACAATTAACAGCGGTGACCATTTCCATTTTCCGCCATTAAAGGTAAGCCACAATTGCATCGCAAGTCGTTTTATCATTCGTAAATGATGTTAATTAAACAATCTCTTGTCCCTAATTAGATTTTTAATTTCTATATATTGTTGATTAAAACCAAGCAGTTTGATCTGCACGGCAACATCTACGGCTACTTGGCGGCTCATCCGATTGCACCTGTTGTGTCTCTCCACCACTTAGATTTGATTGAGCCTATCTTCCCGGACATGGACCGAGTCCAGGCCGTACAACGCTTAATGATATCAATGAAACTAGACTCAGCGGCGCTGATTCAACAATCGTTTTGCTATGACAAAACCAGGACCTGGACCGTATCTGTATCGTGGGGTTATGCTGTGCAAATAATACGGGGTATGGTTCCAGCGAGTGAAATAGAAACTCCGACTAAAACATTTATGGATTGGAATTCAAGAGGGGATGATGGTGCATTTGCATTCAATGTCCGCCCCCTTAGCATCACTCCCTGCGAAACTCCATTTGTCTACTTTCTTTCCAATGCATTGTACAATGCCAGCACTAACCAAACTGCTACCGAGTATATTAGGTATCGGGTACCCCTCCCAGTTTGTAATTGGAAGATTCCTGATCCTTCTCGAATTCATAGAGTCGAGGTTTACAAGAAACCTGATCCACATTTATGGGACAAGGCACGTAATCATAATCAACTTTGTTATCATTTTATTGACTCAGTAAGGGAAATTAATTTGTTTTGCGTGTTTACTTTGGACAGTCTCCGAGAAGAAATTGCTGCAGGATCTTGCGGACTAAGAAGAAACGCACCTTAGTAGTTGATGTGGGTGTTTGCAGAGCAGATGAGAGTGTTGACAATGGTTGACCACATTTTGTCAGTTGTTCATTCATTTTCAAACATTCCCACCTCAAGCAAGTACTAATAGAGGTAAAGCAATTATTTCTAGAACATGATCTTAACTGAAAAGATCATTTAGGTATAATATCTATGTTGATGGTTGAACTGTTTAGAGAATTTTCTTTCAGATATCGAAAGAAAATTTATAGATGTTTTGTAGGATTTTTGTAAATTTTCAAGTTGATGATGATCATAATTATTCCTTAACTTAATTTATCAAATTTTTATTGCAGAATATTTTATATTTTATATATTAATGACGTTATTAATTTAATTTAATTTCAAACAAAAATCTACTGTCCTACATCTGCTTTGTCGGATATGAAATTATGATTTCTTTTAATAAAGTAAATCAAATGCGTTACAGATACTAAATAGATAGAGAGTAAGATTTAACGTCTACTCTTTGAGCAAAACGCAGCGTTTCCTATAACACTGATTCTGTCGGTACGCGTAACACGCATTTAAAGTTTAAACTTGGGCCAAACGAGTTGCGCATATCCAAGGTTTGTCGAAACGATAGTTGGTACCTAAAAAGTTTTAAAATAATAAACAGGTACCTTCCATCATGTGCGATTAGTGATTTCTATTTGTTAATAGTAAAAAGACTAAAATACCCTTGAAATTTGATATTTTAGTTTTTTAAAAATTTATAAAAACCTCCTAGGTTTGCTAATTTAACTAAACACCCCCATATATAAAAAGTTTGTTAAATGACAAAAACACCCCCACTAGCTGCGGCCAGATTCCGACCACCACCCCGAAATCTAGCCGAAAATTACGTTACGACACAGACCCCATCGGATCTGTGTCGTAACGCGCCAATCTGGCCTTTTTCCGGCCAGATCTACTGCTGATCTGGCCGGAAAAGGCCAGATTTGGCCGTCGAGGCAGCAGATAGAGTTTTGCGGCCTTGACGGCCAGATCTGGCCTTTTCCAGCCAGATCCGTGGATGATCTGGTCGAAAAAGGCCAGATCGACGCGTTACGATACAGATCCAATGGGGTCTGTGTTGTAACGCAATTTCTTGTAGTCGAAATCTGGCCGTAGCTGGTGCCTGGTGGGGGTGTTTTTATCATTTAACAAACTTTTTACATATGGGAGTGTTTAGTTAAATTAGCAAACCTAAAGGGTTTTTTAGAAATTTTTAAAAAACTAAAATATCAAACTTCAAGGACATTTTCGTCTTTTCACTGTTAACAAACAGAAATTATTAACAACACATGACGAAAGGTACCTCTTTATTATTTTAAAACTTTTTAGGTACCAACTATGGTTTCAATAAACCTTGGGTATGCGCAAATCCTTTCGCCTTAAACTTAGCAGTTGAATTTTAAAAACAACACCTAAACCCAATAATGCGCCAACGTGTAACAGCTGTCAGTACGCGTGGACTCGGACTCAGTCGTCTCCAAGTCTTCTACTCGGTTACATTATACAAAATCAAACACTCATAACTCATGTACTCATTCATTAACCTCTGAGATTTTTGTTTCTGTTACTGATGGTCATGGAGATCTTCCGCACACGCTCATCTTTCTTTCTCTTGCTATTCTTTTTATCATCCTTCTATGCATTTTCTTTTGCCGTCTCTTTCTCTCCCATCGACAACTACCTCGTTGACTGCGGCTCCACCGTGGACGCTACCATAGATAACCGCCGATTCGTTTCCGACTCCTCTCGCTCCAAATCGCCTCTGTGCAGTTCCTTAACTCGGTCTATCCAACTCAGTGACCACAGCTCCACTTTACCCCAAATTTATAACTCTGCTAGGGTTTTCGATAGACCTTCAAAGTATGTTTTCAAGATCAGAGATCAGGGGACACACATGATACGCCTCCATTTTCTCCAATTGAATTCTTCGGATATCGATTTTGCTGATGCTAAATTCCATGTTTTGGTTAACGGGTATGTCGTTTTGAGTAATTTTAGTGGGGTTCATAACTTGTTAAGTCCTAGGGTTAAGGAGTATTTGATCTTGGTTCATGATGAGAAGCTCGTAATTACGTTTGTGCCTGCTAGAAAATCGAAATTTGCGTTTGTTAATGCCATTGAAGTGATATCTGCACCTAAAGATTTGATTTTGGATACTGTTCAGTTTGTGAATGGGGATAAAATTGAGAAATTTGATGGGTTAAGTAAACAAGCGCTTGAAGTTATGCATAGGCTTAATGTGGGTGGATCTAAAGTGACACCGTTTAATGATACTTTGTGGAGGACTTGGTTGCCTGATGATGAATTTTTGAAATCTAGTGATGGATTAAAAAGGGTGTATTTTAGTGGTAGGATTAAGTATCAGAGGGGAGGGGCAAGCCGTGAAGTTGGTCCTGATAATGTGTATAACACCGCCCGAGTAATTGTTAGCACAAATGCTTCAATTCCTAATTTGAAAATGACTTGGGAGTTTCCTGTGGTTGAGGATTATAAGTATCTGGTTAGGTTGCATTTCTGTGATATTGCTAGTATATCTGTTGGTTTGCTATTTTTCAATGTGTATATTAATGGGAATTTAGCATATAAAGATTTGGATCTCTCTTATGTTACGGCTTATACATTGGCTTCTCCATTTTATACGGACTTTGTGGTTGATGGTGATCACTCGGGGGTTTTAAGTGTTAGTGTTGGACCATCAGAAAAAAGCTTGGACCATGCTGTTGACGGTATTCTGAATGCAGTGGAAATCATGAAGTTGAATAAGACTATGGGTATTCTTGATGGAGAGCAGTGTGCAGGGTTGATCTTGAATAGTTGGCCAAGGGGAAATATTGGCATTTTGATTCCTTTGGTTGCTGCTCTGTGTGTGATGCTAAGTTTATCCGCGTTTATGCATAAGAGGTGGAATGGGGTGAAGAACTCTATGGGATGGCATAAATTGCCTACGGATGTTCCTGAAGTGAATCCAAAGCATGGAAATCGACACATATCAGTAAAAATGTGATGGCTTTTTCTTTTAAAAAATAATTTCGATGCTTCTTCGTAATAGTCAACTAGATTTTGTTGTATACACTTTGGGCATTAAATATGAGGGATTATAGTTACAACCTCGCGTGTGTTAGAATATATTGTATGTAAGTTGTATCAATATAATATATTGTAATTTGGAATTTCATTTTTCTGCATTTGGCAATATATCATGCAGTTTATGTGATGCAAGAATTGTAATTTAAAAGTACTTGGTTCCGTTTGAATTTGATTCTATCTTGTCAGTTGCAGAGCATAGATTATTTTTAATACTTAATTTTGCAAGGTCAAACGAGTAATCTGTATCGAGTGAGGTAATGATAATGGTATAATGTTTATTTTAATTTGGTTATTAGGAGTTTTCATATTATACAGTTTGCTACAGCAGAGAGGTTTGTGAATTTGCAGATTTGTAAAAGATAATGGTATGATGTAAGAAGTAGAGGAATAAGGAGCTATCTAAATACTAAAACGAGCATTGAACAGGCCGTTTTTGAATCTGCAGATTTGTAAACAAGGTATTGTATGATGTAAGTATAGTTGAAGTTGAGGTATTTAAATACTAAAACAAGCATTGAAACCATGTCAGTCAGATCGTACCTCTTTCAACCCACCATTCTGCACAAGTATTTGCGGTGGTCTTCATTAAATTCATTTTATACTTCCAACTCAATTCAACTCGGCCTTCCTGCACAAGTATTAGCGGTCTTCATATTTATTTACATATAACGCAAAACCTGAGCTAATGATAAAATCCTCTCATTGGTTTTTTTTTTTTTTTTTTTGGCTTTTAAATGTCTTATGTTATGATTTAATTACAAATTTCAATAGATTTATCATTTATATAAATGAGCAAAATTTAATGATTATTAAAAAGTAAGAGGAGATTTAAAAATAGCCATCAATAAAATAATTTTTAAGGAGTACTAGTTTATCTTTAGTAAATTTTTCAGTCAGATTTTCATTTGTCATAATAAAATATCAGGAAAAAAAAATGTTAACAGAGTTCTAGTCTTGGCTGATTAGTTTGAAGCAAAAAGAAAATTCTTTAATAGAATAAAATATCAGGAAAAATAAATAAAAGTTTACCTTTTCTTATCGTAATTCTAGTCTTTGTTGAATTTTATTTTGATGTAACTTTTATGTGTGTATATATATATATAAAGCTCTTAATAGTTGTAATGGCCATAACGGTGGAATTAAACTAATTTATTACTATAAGGAGATTATAACACATAGTTACAAAATTACGGTTTTGATTTCTTACTTTATAATTCATAATTTAATACTACGTATTAGGATTTTAATTCATTTTTGTAAAATAATAATAATAATAATCATGTATGCTTTAATTGAATAAGAAATTGTAGAAAATAAAGACTTGATGAAAGAGGAAACACAGACTCTATTTCTTCATGTGATATTCTTATTGAAAGAAGATATAAATAAATATGTTACAAGGGTGAGACAATTTCAGAAAGGAATCTCTTGTAAAGCAAAAAATAAAAATAAATCAAGAAGATTTGATAATTATGAATTCAACCTTTTTATAAAAAGAAAAGAATAATTAAGAAATAAAAAACTTTTAAAATAAGAAAAACTCATAAAAACAAGATACACTAACTAATACATAACAAGGAAATAAAACAACCAAATAAACACAGTTAAAAACTTAACTTTCAACAGAAATCATTGTTGTAATTAGACAAGAAGAGAAAAGAAACAATTTTAAAGATGATAGTACATAAATACAAAAAGTTTCATGCCAAGAAGTTACAAACATACTTGAAAAGCTATAAATATTTTGGCCTTCAACAAGAAGGAGTTCATGCGAGTGAGTTATTACGTATCCACAAGTTAAAATATATTGTAACAACTGTAAAACATAAATTATTGTCCCAAACAACTATAGATAAATATTTTATTTTATCTTAAACTTTAAATGTAATATAACATTTTTATTTATTTATTTATTTTTATTTTTGTAATATACATATACATATACATATTATTATTATTATTATTATGTGGAGATAACTTTCTTAAAACAACTTGCTTAAGACAAGAATTAAAAAAAATTATAAAATGAAATTTATTCTTATTTATAATTATTTCAAGTTTATTATGAAATTTATTCTTATTTATAACTATTTCAAATTTATTACTAGAGAGAGTATGATAATTAATATTATTAGTTTTTCTGTAAAGCACTAAATTAAAATTTATTTATATGTACATTTTCAAATGTAAATTTAAGCCCTGAATACGTGGGATTCTGGGTGAACATAGAAGCCATAAGCACACGAATGCCACACGTCCAACACACCACATACACGAGGCATACTCATGTTAAAAGTAAATAACCACAAATATTGTTCCCTAAAACGCCCATGCCAACAAGGACTAAAATCATATCTTCTGTATAGTGTATGGTTTATTTGCTTAGGTTATCAGCCACGTCATAAAGGGTTGCATGAAGCTTGCATTTTGGAGGGAGGTAATCGTATCCACGTGTCTCATAAGGCCCACAAATGTTGACCCTAAAACCTTGTCAACTTGTTAATTTGCCACGTAATGATAAACAGATTAAAATACTGACGTGTCGTGAATCTTGCTTTTTTCTGAAATACACAAATCCGAAAGTCTACTTTTCACATGCATTAAAATATTATTTACAAATTCCCTCCTATATATAATCATTCCACTTACATTCTCCACAAAGATTCTCCCCTATAACTTAGGACCGAGAGAGAGAGAGAGAGATGGCTTCATCTCATGGAGAAATACGAACAGTTCGCGCTGGGATAAAGCTACTGTTGATGGTAGTGTTTTTGGGCACTCTCATGATGTGGATCATGATGTCTACCAACACTTACTCCAAAAATGGTTACCTATTTACGAGCAAGTATATTTTTCTAAGTTTTTTGGAGTACAAGGTTGAACACTTGAAAAATTAGATCTCACTGTGTGCAACATATTGCTTCATCTTCATATTTATGGTTCTGGCGCCCTAATATCTATTTTGTTAGCGATTTATGATATGTGGTTTGTGTTACAGGTGTAACGCTTTTGATTTACACTTTTCCCACTCTCTTCATTGCTGTCTCGGCCTGCATATACCACCATCTTGGAAGAAATTGAATGACTAATAACTGGAAAGGTAGTCAGCCTTTTAGCTCTTTTGATGGGAAATACACACTTCAATTCTGACTAATATTCTTTTTTTTATTTTTATTGGTTTTGTATCCACAGCACTGACGGCAGAAAAATATATTGACCTTATGGAAAAAGCCGATGCTCGTAAAAGGTCCTCTGGGATTGTTTCCGGCATCGAGTTGGGCTTCTTTGTCATGTTCATAGCACTCCTGATTTGGTCTCTCTCGAATTACCTGCATAATAGCTTTGCTCATATCACCCCACAATCAGCGGCTGAGGAAGGGGAGAAAGTGTATATTATTGTTGATATACGTATAAACCTTGATTTGACTCTTGTTTAAACATTAATTAACAATAATATTGAAGATTGGAGGTGGTTTTGGCAGATGGCAAGCAAAGTTGGACAGTGCAGGATTGAGGCTAGGTCTTGTTGGAAACATATGTCTTGCATTTCTTCTTTTCCGGTGGCACGGGGGTCGTCGGTGTTACCCCTTTTTGGCTTAACATCGGAGGCTAGCATCAAGTATCATATATGCTTGGCCACATCGTCCTGGCACTTCACCGCTCATGGCCTTTGTTACATCATCTATGGGCTGCTACTAATAATATTTCAGAGGTAACTAATCTTGTTTAACCTAATATTTTTACATTAATCATGGATTATATTTTCTCTCCATTTCGGGTTCTTTTTCCTTCTATTGTGGGAATAATAGTCACTCTACCGTTATGAGAAACAGAAAGCCGTATGGTAGTTTGGGACTACCATTCAACAACATGACAATATTTTGATAACAATCACTGCTTTTATCACTTTATCTTGGATTCTTAGCCTCTCAAATCACTATATATACAGTAATAATAACTTTCGTGCATAATTATCATATAACTTCTAAATATTGCTAATCACGCTCCTAATCCTAGTTTAAGATTTTTAGTTTTATGGTCACTGATGACAGAGACCCATCACGTAGAAATGTCCATAAGTAGAATGGTTGCATTAGGCAGAAATACCGCCTGTCTTTTTGTTTTAAATAGGACCCACAAGTTGCCTTCTATAGTTCACTTTATAGGTTTTCACTTGTTGGGTTATGATTGCGTCATTGCTGTTGTGGCTCTTTTTAACTTCAAATTTAGCTGCTGTGTATACTATCGACTTTAACTTATGGGTTGGAAACTGCCACTATGGGGAATGTAACATGTGTGTTTCTTTGACTGTGGAATTTTATTGGGATGAGTTAGTGGTTTCTTTGTCCGAGGCCCCGACCCAGTGGACCACCTGATTGGTGTATTCACTTTGGCCTAATTTTAAGACGTACGTGACACCATTGTCCACCCATATCAAATCTTCAGCCGATAGAGATTTTACGCTCAAAACACCACAGTGCGGCCCCATTAATGCCGTAATCTGTTTTATATGTGGGTTTTTAGGATACTCAAAACAAAAGACAGTAGCTTCATTAAAGAAACAAAATTATACAATTTCACTATTCGTTTTCAATAGGCAGAATTCTACGTATATGTACTTGGGGATTTCTTTTTGTCTTTTGTATTTGTTTTAAAAATGAATTAAGACTCTATGCACTAAACATCAGTAAAATTTCATTCCAGTTCCAGCATAGTTTTTATTTTACTCATAATGGCTAAAGGATTTATAATGGTTGATTTAATGCAGATGTTAAAATGGCATAAAATTGGCATATCAAACGTGCCGGAGAGATATCTTTGGTCTCCGGTTTAGCGCTGTGGGCAACAACCATTCCTCACGTACGCCGCAAGTTCTTTGAAATTCTTCTATACTCATTATATCTACATACTCTTCGTGGTGTTTTTCATATTTCATGTTGGTGTCTCTTATGCCTGCATTTGCTTCCTGGATTCTATCTCTTCTTGGTCGATCGTTATCTGAGATTCTTACAATCACGACAAAGAGTTCGTTTAGTTTCTGCCCGTGTCTTGCCATGTGAAACTGTAGAACTCAACTTCTCACAAGCGCCAGGTAGGTTTACTTTCCTTATCTACCTTACTACAGTTGGTGATTTCAAATT